GAGTAACATTAACCAAGAGCCCATGGCATACAGGGCGCTTACGTCCCGTGAGTAAAAAAGAGTAAGGTACAATACGGTGACTACCGTGACATTAATACCTACACCAAGATAATCTAAGATATGCAAACGACACTACAGAAGATGAAGTACACCTACAGGATCTATTAAACCCCAACCACCCCAACCTGCAATATCAAAATTAGTGGTATCACCCTCAAACAAGTACAACATTTTAAATTAGACCATTATATCATCAGATGGGAAATGTCATACTGAAATTAAAAGCCGCATTTGCCAAGCAAAAGCAACCTTCCACAAAATGAAACAGATACTTATAAACATCAATCTGTCATTGGAAACAAGAAAAAGGGTACTTAAAAGTTACATCGAGCCAATAGACAGCTGGAAAGAACAATTGAGGCGACAGAGTTTTGGTTCATAAGACACATGCTGCGTAAAATGTTCTCCTTCCCCTCCTTTCCTGCTCTCTAATCATGTTCTGTCGTCTGCAGCTTTTGTCTACTGGACCGTGTTTCATCGGCATGCGATAAAGTGTGGTGTAAATGAAAATATGTCAACCTTTTTATATTGCAGGTACATGCTATAATTAGTTTTTTAAAACCCCTTTAAGCTAACATCAAAGGAAAAGTGTCTTATCTTAATTAATTTGCAGTGAAATTTATTCACCAATGATCTTTTTAGTTTCTCTTGGTCATCCAACTGTTAGACTCGGGTGAAAAGACAAGAAAAGATTGAACACTGCGATTTCTTGGGGGGGGGGGGGGGGGGAGGGGTTCAATTTTCGTTGCTGACAGGCGAGAGTGAACGAGCTGCACAAATGCTTTAAAGTTCATGATTTGGGAAGTTGTTGTTGTTGGGGATTTTTTCCTAATGGTTTTAGCACACGTTATAACAACGGTTTACTAAAAAACCAACACGTTTTTTGAAGGAACAAGTTACTTACAATCAACATTCCCAGAAGTAGAAAACATCAATGCATAATGAGAAATTTGTCTCTTAAACAGCAAGGAAATATCAACATAAAAACCATTTGTTCCTACTTTCAACGAGACTATTCATGGAACATTCATTCTGCCATGTAATGAAAGAGTGGGTTAAAAACACAGTTATCAAAACAGATTTCTTTTCTGTTCTGACTTGTGGCTTTAAGAATGTTTTTGGGGAAAAG